AAAACAAACAGCAGCACCACCAGCGCTAAAACCGACAGCAGCAGCAGCAACAACAGCAGCAGCAGCAGCAGCAACAGCAGCAGCAGCAGCAGCAGAATCAGAGAGTTTTAGCGTGATGAGAGCAACAGCAATCGAAGCAAAAAAAAAAAAGAAAGAGAAAAGAAGAAGCAACCCTAAACCCTAAACCCTAAACCCTAAACCCTAAAACCCTAAACCCTAAACCCTAAACCCTAAACCCTACTTTATTTCAAGTCCGTGTCTAGCGAGTGCTTCAGCTAGGATCTCTCTTCTCCTTCTTCTTTGTTTTGCTTCCTGCTGCAGCAGCAGCATGTTGCTGTGCAGCTGCTGCAGTTGCTGCTGCAGCTGCAGCTGCTGCTGCTGCTGCTGCTGCTGCTCTGCTTGTGCTTGTAGCATCTCTCGTGCTGCAGCATATGAGGCGCTAAGAGGAAACCACCAGGTACCCACTGGCGTTGCTGCTGCTGCTGCTGCTGCTGCTGCTGCTGCTGTTGCTGCTGCTGCTGCATCTTTCCCTTGCTCCTCCTCCTTCTCACCGCCAGCCCCACCAGCAGCAGCAGCAGCAGCAGCAGCAGCAGCAGCAGCAGCGGGGAGAGACGTGCGTATAGGAGCTGGGCCCTGGTGCCGCAGCAGCAGCAGCAAGTGCTGCCGCCTGCTGCCCTCGACTATATCTGCGAATGTGTTTAGAGAGAAGCTAAGCGGCAGCACTGCTTCCATCTGCTGCTGCAGTTCTTTGTCTTGCTGCAGCAGCAACCCTACATCTATCTCACGTACACGCACACCTCCTGCTGCTGCTGCTCCTGCTGCTCCTGCTGCTGCTGCTGATCCAACTATACCCGCAGACCCCAGCCACTGCTGCTGCTGCTGCTGCTGCTGCTGCTGCTGCTGCTGCTGTTGCTGCGGTACTGCACGGTTACGCATACCCGGCGGCCGTTGATACCCTCCTGCTGCTGCTGCTGCTGCTGCTGCTGCTGCTGCTGCTGCTGAGCGTCGCCGCTGCCAGCGCGGGTACCTCCAATAGGTTCCTGCTGCTTCAGCTGCTGCAGCACCACTAAACTGCTGCTGCTGCTGCTGCTGCTGCTGCTGCTGCTGGGGGTATTGCTGCCGAGCAGCTGCACGTACACCCCACGGCCGCCTCGGTCTCCAGGACTGCCGCCAGTTGCTGCTGCTCCCCCATTCATTCCAATTGTTCTGCTGCTGCTGCTGCTGCTGCTGCAGCTGCTGCTGCGGTCGTTGCTGCTGCTGCAGCAGCTGCTGCGGTTGCTGCTGCTGCTGCTGCTGCTGAATCCAGGATGGGTCTTCTTGCTGCAGGTCGGGCCCTAACAAACTCTCCGTTTCGAAATCCCCTGCTGCTGCTGCTGCTGCTGTTTTTGCTGCTGCTGCCTTTGCTGCTGCTGCTGCTGCTGCTGCTGCTGCTGCTGAGCATTCAGCAGCAGGAGGCAGCACGAAACCCAAGTGAGAACTCCTGGGGGGGCAGCAGCAGCGGGAAGGGCCAGCAGCAAATGCTGCAGCGCCAGAGCCCTGCAGCAGCAGCAGCAGCAGCAGCGGCTGCAGCAGCAGCAGCAAGACACGAGGCCTGCGCCTCTCTGCTGCCGTAGTTGCAGCCATGGCGGTGCCGACTCTGCTGCAGCAGCAGCAGCAGCAGCAGCAGCAAGAGCAGCAGCAGCAGCAACAACAACAACAGCAGCAGCCGCAGCAGCAGCAGAGCTGTCTTTACACCCCAAACAAATCGAGGCCCAGCAGCAGCAGCGGTCTCCCGTGCTGCTGCTGCTGCTGCTGCTGCAGCAAGGGAGCAGCAGCAGCAGCAGCAGCAGAAGAGAGAACACCAAATATATCCGTGTGTATGTCTGTATGTGTTTATTCCGTCTAAAACTGAAGGCTCTTCTGCTGCTGCTGCTGCTGTTGCTGCTGTTGCTGCTG